TGGGGGGGGGGTAGATTTGTACCAAGGCCAACGCTTCATTTTGTTGTAGCTTCAGTCGGACGATTACCAACCTTCCGCTGACATGTTTCTAATCAAGAATTCTATCTGCGAGGTTGGGTTCTACCAAAACAACACCGGCCTGAGCGCGAGTCGTGATATCGGCGCCTGAGTAGAATAACTTCCATCCGCTGAGGTTCAAGAGTCCAGAGCCTTGGTGCTCGTTGACGAGAGTCCAACAATGTCGAGTTGGTACCTTCTGGTCTCATCAACTAACCCTCTGTGTGAGGATAAGTTCCAATTTTAGACTTTAAGCTCCCTAGTAGTGGCGTTCTTGTGGACACTTTTCTGACGTGCTGTAATGGCATCGCGCAGTCTGCCTCCTCCGTTCAGAACGGGTAGTGACTCAGTTGCTGTCTGGTATCTTCGTCGTTCGGTCGGCCTTCGTCAGCCGTTGTTGTGCTGCTAACCCCCCGTTCCCCGGCTGGCAGAGGGCGACGAGAAGGTTCTAATCGCTGACTTTAGGCAGTCTGCCTCAGTCCCCCAACAGCCTGTGTGGCCCTTGGTAACCCGGGCGACGACCGAGCCGGTATAATTTTCGATGGCGTCAATACCATGAGTAGCAGGTGGCTAAATCTTACGGAGACTTGCCACGGTCTCAAACCCTCCTCCTTTCTCAACTGGGCTTGAGACCGGAAACGGCGGAGCAAAGAAGCTATTACGAAATTTAAAATACCTTAGCATGTTACGGCATGGATCTCTGAAAGGCATGAAGATAATTCGCACAAAATTCGAAGATGTAGTATAAATATCTGTGCTCGTTTTGTTCGTTAAGATTTAGGTTTAAACTAAGGATTGTCGGGAATACCGAGTCACTTATTTTCGAAGACCAATTGTCTTTTTTGGTCGCGGAGGCGGACACGGTGTCAGACCTGCTTCCAACGTTCCTGATTATCTGCCAGTGTTTGAGTTTCTGCAGAAAAGAACCGAAGTCAGAAGCAGAATCTTTTCGCGCACGTGCCCCAAGTTAACTGAACATATTTATTTTATCAAATTATGTACATGGAACCTAATGAGCGAATCCTCCACGAACAAATTTCATAGGCAGTGCAATATGCCGTGAAATCGGGTCTTAGAGGAGTCATCAGATATTTGACCTACTCTGTAGTACGAACAGCTGATGAGGTTTATGCGGCTGCATCATGGAACTTGGACGAAAGGTTTGCAGGCCACCGTCCGAAATCATCCAAAATTTACGCGTGATGAATCTAGTCGCGTAACGCGTAGGCAATAAAAGTTTTGTTTTGTTTGTTCGGTGGCCCGAATCATGCAAAGACAAATTCCTTAGAGTTACGATGAATTTATTCCTTCAAGTAGTCTAATATAAATCGGAAGAGCGGAAGATGAAAACAAAGCTTCATGGATACCATTAGCAAGTAAGAAGTTAACCTCTGCTTACGCTGTCAGAACCTGAGAAATTCAGCACGACAGCTTTGTCCAAATGTGTATATTAATGTCCTCATTCGTATATTCATTCAGATCAATTCTGGGAAGTCAAAGCGTCAGATATCATTAGTCTGGGTACTTGGTCCTTGAGCCTGATACACCACATGACCATTACAACAGCAACATTCGTGTCATATTCCGGAAAGAAGGATCATACAAGTAGTGTAATATCACAAGATCGAAAGCGTGACTGACCACCTATCTGGCTATCAAAAGATGAAGCAGTCATATTCTACATGTAGTTACTTTTCAAACTAATTGAGGGGAAAACTTATCAGCATCTCTTGTCGTTTCGCCGATTCCTCAGAACTGGCAACAAATTAGGACACACACGAAAAGAGCATATATTCAACAAAAAATGGCATAAACAGGCTAATACAGGTCAAATAGTACGAAACGGCATCTGAGACTATGAGACTATAAACGGTAGTTCTTTATTAACGATGTTGTAATTTTACTTTGAAGTTCTACGGTGATAAAAGACATATTAATTAGGAGTGCATTAAGTGCAAAAATATAATTTTTTAAAAGGCCAAATTTCCAACAGAAACAAACAAAACAAAAAGTTGCTTGCACTGTTGTCCGCTGGTCGCTAACACAGCGCGACAGCTGATCGTCGAGCAACAAACAAGTTGGTAAACACTGGACACTTCCGCATTCGTTTCAAATGGAACGGAAGCGGAAGAATCGCACCGACGTCGCACAAAACAGTTTTAAAGCACTGCTTCGCTACGTGAAACTATAAGCTAACTAAAGACTAAAAAACAATTAACAACTGTATACCGTAAGCACGGGTATATCGTAGATTTCCCGAGCCTCCCCGACTTCTGAAGACTCTGCCAAATCGGCGACCAAGAAGCTGACCGAATCGGTGAGGTAGGAGCTTAACCTGGCGCCGTTTTCCGTCAGCACTCGTCGCACCTACATAGAACGAAACAAACAGCTAGGGTCAATGCCTGGACAGGCAACTACAGCATATGACGTACCAAATCAACCTTAGATTCATCGATCGCCCTGGGAACGATATACACCTTCAAATTTTGGAACAGCGACATCATGTATAACAGGAAATAACAAAAGGCCCGCCAACGGCAAATTCACGCAGCACCGAGATCATTCTTTTTCGTAACAGGATAAAGACCCTTACAGTTCCAGACTGGGGAGCTGATTAAAATTACCATAAATTATACTACAGTATCCATTGTTATAAGCAGCAAGGCAATATTATATGTTGATTGATTAAAAAGATAATTTCATACATGATATGTAATAAATTAATCGCTGTAAGCGCTATGGGACTTGTACCATTAATTAAATGCTTTTTCGACGGAAAATTTTTTACTGCTCATAAAACTGGTAATATATAGAGTTTTGCACTTAAAAATCCAGAAGTAGCAATAGATTATGCTTTAAAAATATTACTGTTATTTTATACGCGTGCATAGTTCTTCGTCGCAGTAGTCTGCAAAATACTTATTCTACGTATGTGTCTAATGCTTAGTTTAGTTTTTCCACCTTCCGGATCTCACAGGATCCTTCTGGGGATAGCGGACTTCCAGTGCCTCCAAAAGCCATTGAGCATGTTATTTCCACAAATATCTCAGATGAAGTTTGCGGCTAACAAGTATCATCCCCTTTCAGTAACTTAGCGATGATTAACTAATACGGTTAAGTTGTTTGTCGACACTTCGTGCGAAATATGAATCGTGGTAAATTTCTATATTGGAGACTTCCTTTTCTAATTTAGCTTTGCATTTCCACATTGCACTAATTTTGAATCAGCTATCAGTTTGGTGAATTGCAGTCGTAAAGTGCCCTCATCAAACAACATAGCCGTATGTCTCGTACGCTTGGGATTGCCACATCTAAGCACCGCAGTGACTCTATTATTCATAGATCAAGGAGCTTATACTGATTTCCTGCTAGTCGCACTGAAACACTGCAGGATAGGTTCCTAGCTCAATGAAACAGACGGTTAATAACAGTAGATTTGGAATTGTGAGTATAAACCCAGCATGTATTAACCAACTGTGCAACTGCCTTCCCTAAACTGTCAATGCCCTTCTCCGACTTTACTGCAGCTTCAATACTCCTCCTAGGCTGCGCTTGTTTGAAAAATTCGGCAGCAAATGTCATGAACCTAGACTTTTGTCATGGTTCAGCGATTATTTTTCGTATCAGTCCCAATTTTGACACAGATGGTAAATGAAAATCTACTGTTACAGTAAGTGATGGGGGATAGCTTCAAGGTTCTGTGCTCTCGCCGTTGATATTCAACTTTTACACAAATTCAAAGGGCGTTAATCACTTGTGTGAAAAATGCGTTAGATTACAGATTTATATATTCTGTAAGATCTGCCAATGACTTCAATGCGCATCCGAAAGCAGTTTCCTATGCATGAACTGCGTTAGCAGAAGCTTGATTAATACTGCATCACAGTGATGTTAATCACCCTTTTTGCAAAACTCACTCAGCTTGCACCTTGCTTTTATCAGATCACTATTTTGTCCGAAATGGAAGTTGTTTCAACGAAAGATCAAGAACGACGACGTCCACTGATTGCACGCAACAGCTTCGACTCAAACACATTGGCATGACCACACAAGGACTGAAATCATTCGCACTCATATACAGGTGATCTTAATGAACGGGAAGATTAAAGAGAACTTAGCCCTGGCAGAGAAAATAGTTAAGCAGAACCCGTTTGCTCTAGCCCATGAGCTTCTCGTGTGGGAGCCGAAACACCTCGGACGGGAGTCTAGCCCACAATCTGGAAGCAAGACAGAAGTCAATCGCCGCTCAGAGAAAATTGTCTCATTCTTTGATGCAATCTTATAGCAAATCCATTACATGACTGCCAACACAACGGGCATCAGAAAATAATGGAGACGCTATGCTTCTACGTACGGTGCATGTTGATGATCACAAACACAACACACAATTCATAAAAGGTTAGCGTTGTCCATAATTCATGAATCTTCCCTGAGGAAATTAGTGAACGGAAATTCTGTGCATTAACTCTTAGCTGATCCACCGTGTCAGCAAACAGATACATTCATCAATCGCGATTATTTATACTTAAATATTTAAAACATTGTCACCCGCTTGACATTTAAAAGAATCTGAGCTCTTTCATTGTCTTAAGCAGGTAACTAGTACTCGTGCACATATACATATTCTAAGCCAGTTCATCGACGCTGGCGTAATTCTTATCTTTACGACTGTCGGCTTGGTGATTTCTGCTGGCCTTCTCAAAATGAACCGTCATATAATTCGGCGATCACTCAAAATTATCAGCATTATCAGAGGCCGAAATCTTCGACCAGCAGCAGCCAAAATTGTGAAATCAAATAGTCAATTTCAGTCGCTCGATTGTCGGTGACCAATGTCACCATTTGCATGACTCACTGGCCCACTGCGTTTCAAAGACATCAAGTTACCGGAAAGCAACTTGTGCACACGTATACATGAGCCAGAAAGGCTAACACTGTGCGATTTGATTCGTTTCCCGCACTTTACACTACATCGAAAACTAGCGCATGCAACTCAAGGAAGAAACAATAATTTCTGCTCCTGTTAATTTAATGTTTATATTTTTTGGCTTATAGCTGATAGATGCAGTGGAATTATTTCTCTCACTGTTATTAAAACTAATAAACCTGAAAATGATGTAACTCACCAATTGAATAACAAAACATTTTTTTGCAAATGGGGTCTTTTGTCCGACGAGATTAAGTGAAACGCGACACATTTCCGAAAATTGTGCATATGACACACATTCAAAGTAAATATTTTGATTAACATTACGATAGGAAACTACTTACGTCGACAACTATTTTTAAATTATTACTTAACTAGTTTGATAGAAAGCGGATAATATAAATCAAATGCAAAGGAAATCACCTTCCACTTATGCACGCAACTGTACAGCAGTGACACTGAATCAGACCTTGCAATAGAAATTTCAAATTCACACTGGACATAACTTGAAGTTACAAAACAATGCATAAAATTGATATCGTCAAGAGAATGCATACGTTCCCTCTGAATGTGAGAACAAATATTTTTTTAGGACTACTTCCATATGCTAAAGACTGAAGAGGCTGACTTTAATACTCCGTGCACTTAAGGTCGTTTCTTCTTCCTATCGAAAAAACCGCCAAATCAATTAAAAATTTTGCAATGAATATATCCTACTAAGTGTGCCCTCTGGGTTACATAAGACCAAATCCTGAAATAAGGACAGCAGATTAAAATGAAAGACCATGGCCAACTTTTAACCGCGGCATGCAGAAATTCATCATCAATATTATCTGGAATCATCATTGTGGGATCTTGCTCTCACGATTTCCAATGTCCTGGGTTAGACTCTTTTTAAAATGTGCCGAAAGCTGCTAAAAAAAATCTTACCATTTGTTTAACGCCATTTAAATAAACTAAACTTTTAACACAGCAGCACGTTAAACATCATGGGTCACACATTACCACCGCATGCATGTTTTAAAAAGTCCTTAAAGAAAAGTATTAAAGAGGTAATCGTTTTTGTGGATGGACCTACTACGAATTTTCTAAACTGATGTATGCATATTTTTCAATAATCTTGAATGTACAAAAACTAAAAACATTGAAAACGTTTTTATCTTTTCTATTTTTATCTTTTCTCATCACTAAAACATTTTTATTAAATACCTTTAAATTTTAGCTTAAAATTCCTAAAAGACAATAATATAGTTGTTCACAGGAAATATCGATTAGTTAAAATTAAATCGAAAATATCGATTTAAGCTATGTAAATGAATCATACCATTTTGTAGAATTTTTTATGAACTTTAACACCGCTGGAGATTCACTCGAAGATTCATGTTTCTGTTATGCATACTCGACAATCAGCTATTTACGCAAAAATCCAAAATCACTATATAAGAGTGCATACAACAAGTATGCAAAAAAGTGAATAACCGCAAACTATTTAAATCACAAGAGTGTCTTTGGCCTAAAATCCTTAAGCCGATAAAACAAAATGCACATGAATGTAGGAATCGTTTACTAGCATAAACACTGTATCGACATTGTGGTAACAGCAAAACACTTAGTCCTCTTCGTCAGGACCTTTTGTCTTTGGCTTTGGGCCTCCGCTCTGTTTCGCCATTATAATCTACAACAAAACATTGAAAACAAAACAGTGGCACTGACAAGGTGCTCTGTACCTGATCAATTTTCAGTACTGTACAAGCAGCGTTGGTAGCTAAACGAATCGCTCCCAGTTTAGACAAATACAAGTCGAAAATACCGGCTTGGACAACGTTTATGACACCATCTTTCTCAGACTAAACAGAATAAACAGGTTAGAAAATTTCTTGCATAATTTTCCCCCCAAAGTTTCTATATTTACTATAAGACGACTGTCCGCTTCAGACAAAATTTATGTTGCTTCGCAACTTTCATTGCTACGAAGCTTTCTGAAACAATCACACGGGTTCTTTCTCTATGAGCTAAACGGTTATTAAATTCATCGTGCTGTTATCATTATCAACCAGTGGTAGCTATGAACAAACACTAGCTCTACATTTAAAATACAGCACAAAGGCGGTTTTATAATCCTCCATGCAAAATTGGACAGTCAAGTGACCGACACCGATGATTCAGTCTTACTGCATAGGCTTTCTTCAAGTTAAATTTGGTAGTGAATTCAGACTGCAATTGGTCGTTTATAACGTTTCTAGTCTTGCAATTCGAACTTTACATTTTTTAGTCAAGAACCAAAAAAACGGACACGTTCCATAGCTAGGTGTACTTCTCCGTGAAACGGCAATAGACACCTAAAACCATATTACTTCCCCCGTTATCCTGCGGGCAGAATAAATTTAAGTCCCCAGTTTACACCGAAAACTCTATATGACGATGACGAATAAAAAAGGTTACGGCATAGAAGAAAGAAACCAATGGAGCGGGTTTAGAAGCAAAACGGTTTTAAAATAAGCATGCTAGTAGCATCAAAACGTACATCCAAGTCAACTCCCATGTGCTGCTTGTTCTGTTGGTGCTCCGCGTACAATTTCGACAAGACCACCGTCGACTAAACATGCAATTTCAAAAGATATTCATAAAATTAAGAAAACGGTTTTACTCGAGCTCCAGAATTATCGGCCAGCTGTTTTGGTAACGCTTCTAGAGCCAATGCAAATTTCTTAATGGCATATTGGTCGAGACCGGGACATACCTGCAAAACGAATATGAAATAAACATGAATGGCGCAAACAGTCTGATCGTTACTTCGCCATATGAGTCAATCCGACGAGCTAGTTCCACTTCTACAGCACCAGCGCCAGGCAGCAGTCTCGCATCCTAAATAATCGCAAATTCTTTCATTTAATTTGAGAAAGGTAATTCAGCGGACATGATCGATCATACATGATGAAGGCGTGAAGTTTAAAGCTCAAGTATGATCTGAAGTTTCTTGGTTAAAGGGTAATTTACTGGAGTAACCTGCCACGCTACGCAAATCAATGAACAGGTAAAAAATAACCAATCAAGTGCCCTGAACTGTCTGCTAAGAATTGCACCTTGCACAGCCCTGCCAAAGATTCAGAAATTTAAAGTTACTTTGTCAAGTGTGCTCATTTCTAGACCGAAATTCACTGTCCAGCCTAACAGCTGACTTTTCCACAGTCAGAAATGCAGCCAGTGAATATAACGTTAAAATGAAAAACATTTAAATTGATGCTCCAATAAGCCACCTACATTACATAACCATGTTCCCGCCGTCAGGGCACTGAATATGACAAACTGTCCTATATTCAGAAAAAAGTGTGCAACAATTTTGTACTACCCATGTCTTGATCGTATATGTTTTTAAAACTAGCATGCCACTGCATTCCTTACTAAGCACAAGCCGGCTTTTTTCTCCATCTAGCCAAAATGCGGTAACCGTTTCATCAGAAGAAAAAATTCGCGTGCCTTTCTCAAGGCTTAGCATGGATGGCGGCCTCCAAAGCCTAAATCCAAAATTATAAATCGAAGTGTCTACTACCTAGACAGATGTCCTGAATGTATAAGGAGTTCTGTAAACCCGGTTATCACAGACTTGTTAGTTGCGCATTTTAAAGGTATATGAGAAGGCTGAGGCAATCGTATGGCAGATGTGTTACAATGCATCGAACTTCGTCCTGTCATGCATTTCGATACCGCTACTATATTCAATGTTGCGACAAACGCGCTGATTTTAGATTAAAGAAAGCCCTACTGCCAGCTAAAATACAAGCAAAATCTCTACAAACAAGAAAATGAGTGACAGACATGCAGATCAGGAAAAATATAGCACTGACAATTATGGAAAATCATCATTCTAGTGAAGATGGGGAGAGGCGAGAAACATTTGTAGACAGATACTAACAGCTACTATGAGGCATATGGGATTAACTCTGTGCACCATGAAACTATTATCATTAATCGATTTAACGCTGAGAGTGGCAATCAAGCAACGATAAAAGACGATCTATACAAATAGGTAAAGATTCGCATACTTACACTGCAACAAATGCTCTTAAAATAAAACAATTCCAGTATTCCAAGAAAACGGGTGAATACTCAGAAGCCTTGTCAAAGTTCCTTTTTAGAATTAATGACAGACTACTTGTTATACGTATATCTCCCCCGGAAAGAAGGCACAATTATTCAGAAAAGTTAGTCTCTGGTAGCAAAAGTACTTAACAAACCTCGTAACAGGGTGAAAATCTTAATCTCATTTGATGAGTATCTCAATACTCCCAATAAAGTGATGATAATTTGAAGCCCAATTGTTTGTAACTTTTCGCTTGATCTAACAGTAAAAAACAGACCAATTATAACAAAAACACTTCATAAGTTTCAAAAACTATGCCTCAAAATAAAGCATGGTTTGTTAACATGCTAAACAAATTCCTATTAAGAGCATATAAATCAGTATCGATGCTCTCGAATCATTACCTTAGTTAAAGTTTTGTACGCATTAACACCATCATCAATGGCTCTTTCGATATCATCCATCACATTATCTGAAGATCCTCTGATAACGATTGTCGCAACGCGACTAGAAGATGACTCTAAAAAACATTCAAACGTTTACAGGGCTATTTTAAAAATAAACTACCTTGTTTGAAGACCGTAATCTCAGTATCACCAACTTCGTCTGCATAGATGTGATCACAGTGCCCTATATCTTCGCTTTTTGGCACAGCCTGCGACAAATAAGGAAATGAATCAAGATATCAAATTCAGTCACTTTTAAAGTTTTTACTAATTTCGTCAAAGCAGCTGCTTTCACTGTTCGACAAAGTCGACGAAGATCAAATTTGCTTTGAATCTTCACGCCCATTATGTTGTATTTGTTCAAGAAATGAATGTGCATCTCGCCAAATTTGCCACCCGAAACCACGGCGTTGATCCCAGCGTCATGAAGAGATTTTATTAGCTACAAAGCTATACGTTCGATCCCGGGTAAAACTGAAAGCCAAATAACTACCTACCTTTTCAACTACATCTTCTTCCCCTTTACTATAGTCCATCAGTTCGTTGGCGTTACGAATCAGCACAGTCCCCTGCAAAAAATTTAGCAGACAAATTTTAAAAAGAATGCTGGATTGCACAGTCCTTTAAAGAAAAACCTTTATAATTTAATGATTGTAAACAAAACCCAATATCGAAAGACTGATGCTCGAGCTGATTTTCCACCAAAAGCTTGCAGAGTCTACAGTCATTGAATTAAAGGGTTCTTCTACTTATTACCGTTCAGCGCTGACTCGATATGAACTTCCAAAGACAATCAGCTTTAAGCAAAAAAGTTTGAAAGCAATTAATAAACTTAAAACGAGTAATAGCGGTTAATCATGTATTCTTTCTAGTAGTTATCACTTCTACTAAATACCGAAAAATTACAGAATAAAAATTATGGTATATCAAATGACACGTGTTTATAGTAGATGTTAGATCAACGGCTTTCACATTTTGGCGAGCATGTCTATACCCATTTCAATATTTAAACTACCTCCACTTCAACTCACTGAAAATTCCACCTCAATAATTTACATTGGCAACGAGCCAACAACAGCTTAAACTGATGATCAATGTGATATGTGATTAAAGGTATATGAAGCTCCTCTGGCAATGTTTATGAAGAAAAGCTACTAATTAGGTGTCGGTAATGTCGGGTTTGTAAGAAAGCATATTAATAAGGCACGTACTGTGCCATTCCAGGAATCACGGTGTATGATAAACAACATAGCTCGTACATGCCATAGGCTTCAGAAACAAGGGCACTGCCATATATCATAAAAACAGTGAAAGATATGTGCTTATTAATGAGAATGACGACAATGCAAACTAAAACACTCAACTTCAAACCACGTCGAATCAGCAACGATAAAGACAACCGTGAAACTAAAAATAAACAAAGAAACGATAACGGCAAGGAGAAAAACGATTCGGCAGTTTTTGTGAGCAGCTGTGAAAATCATAAGAATGAAGACAGAGAAGGCAAAAATGAGGTTCGCGTTTTATTAGACATGAAAAATGAAGCCTAGCTTGGAGATAACATACTCCACTGGCGAAAGAATCAAGGAAAAAAATTCACCAGACACTAAAACCATTGAGTTATAAAACAGTTCAGCATTAGTAGGAACAATTAACTGGCATTAAATATAGCTATGAATACCTAGGGGCTGATAATTTGCTGATTGCAAGATCCAACAATACTTTTCGATCATTCGCTTTCATGTACAAGTCACTGCCTCAGCTATAATTAACATTTTTATAAGAAAAGTTCTTGCAGCCTTCGTTCAATCTAGTCATTTCGATCGAATACATGCTTGGCAAACTGAAATTTCTGATAGCTCTTTGAGTAAAAGCTGTTCAAGCACATGTACCATAATCAATGCTTTATGATCACCGCTTTTATGACTTCCTACACTCTGCATGTCTGCGACAATTATTTACCGTGTAGA